GTTCATTTACAGCCTACCAGAGTTCCTCGTTGCTTATCCTTATTATTCTGGCCATCTGAACTCCAGTAACAAGCCAGCGTAGACAGTTGTTGATGAATATCTGAAGTTCGTTGCAAATGCTTTCCGTGACTCCCAAGTCCCTCAAACATATACAAGCACTGACTTCACTAACACTGGTGTTGAAGATCCGGATCTCGTTCACATTTTACGCTGAGTGCAGTGCAATGCAGCAGATCTCCACACTGGTTTCAGGTCAATGAACGCCTGTCTTGCTGTCTTTCCCATCCTGGCTGGCATTGACGTCCTCGTCTCTGCCGCCTGTAGTTCAGACGATTCTGGCTAGGCGGTACAAGAGAGAGATAACTCCCTTCAGATTTCTCCCATTAATAGTGATTGGTGCTAGTTGTTGGTTGGATATTTTCATCACCTCTGTCTTCTCTACGTTCACTTGAAGTCCCGTCTTCCTTCGCCACCTCACCTCTTCTGCCAACTTGTTAGTTTTTGCCTGTAGATCTTTGAGCTTGTGTGACAAGACATTAGACATAAATCATGATCGGCGAAATCCAAATCTTCTAGGGTCTTTTCATCGGTCCAGCCAGCCTATGCCCCTCCTCTCGCTCCTCACAGTTTGTTGCATGATCCAGTCCAGTCAACCGCAATCAGCAAGGTGATCGGTGATAGTAGGTGGCAGCCATGTCTTATTTCCGTCTTCACTTCAAAGGCATCACTGAGACTTCGATTGTCAATCACTTGGCATTGAGCGTCGTCATATAGTTGTTGGATGAGGTTGATGAGGGTTTGGGGCTCTAAAACCGTGGTGTTGAAGCAGTTCCCAAAATACTTCTCGGTCGACGCTATGAAATGTCTTTTCAAAGTCGGTGAAGTTGACCATTTAGAGGTAAAGATAGGATCTTTTAGATTAGAAGCTTGTACTTCGATGGTGAATGTTCAAAAATATTGGTATTTTTCTGAATAGTCATTATCACAAGGCTTTCCGCGCCAGCTGTTCTTAAACCTTCATTACTCAATTATTAGAAAACCGAAAAGAAATGTCAATTTCCAGCTAAACAACTCACAGAGCCCGGCACAAGGACTATGTTGTATTTTAAGGTACAATTTACATAATTTTACATCTTGAAGTGATCCTTATTTCTGATCTATTCACTAAAGGAATTCAGTATCCAAGCTTTGTTCAGTTAGTTGTTAGATGGCTGTCACCGGTCATGGCTATGTTATGCTTAGATCCTGGATCGAACGAACTCGATAAAGCTGTGCAAAATCATCGTACGAATAAATTTTACTATTTTGTGCACAGTATTACATACTATCCCTAGGAAACGGAAAGATATGGATTACCATGCAGTTAGTAATGAATGAACAATTAGCAATCCTAGGGGCCATAGTTAGCCAACGCATAGCTGCAACTCCACAAAAGCAAACTCAACAAAAAAACAGGCAGCTTTTAGAAATGCACGAAGGTGCACCAAACATACTCTCACCCTCCGATAGGTTCTAGAACACAGGCATACATACAGGCAACCGACACTTACCATATTTATTCACCTGAAGATCACATTTGATTATGTCGACCGTGAGCTTTTCGTGACAGTGTCTGACTGTGAAAGAAGTACCCAGCAACTACATAACGACAATCAAAACTCTCTACTCAAACTCACACATCTCATGTAAAGGCTCACACAGAGTTTTCATGTGAATTGACGACAACTAGTAGTGTTTACAAGCGATCTCCACTGTCACATTCTCTATTCAGCCTTGTTATTGACGTACTAATACACATTACCTTATGTACGTCTGACTTCACATAGATTGATCTCCTCCCTAGAAGTCATATGGTTCACTTGGAGCATGCAGATGATAACATCCTCCTGCGTGAAGACGATGACAAAATCTAGGGTTGTCTGGATGCATTGAGCAGAAATCCGTGTATACTTGGTATGTGTTTCACACCTGTCAAATGCAAGATGATGCTCCAGGACTGATCTGCTGCAAATACTCTCAGTTTAGTGATGGGGAGTGAACTGGTGGAATGTGTCGATCTATTCACTTACCTGGGGAGTTACATCACCCCGCCGAACAGGCTGGCTGTGGACAAAACCTCAGCTCGGATACACAAGGCCCGTTTGACATTGACATTTGCTAACTTGCATCACCTCTGGTGCCGGTGAGATATCTGACCATCTATCAAAGGAAGAGTATACTGCATTGCAGTCTGTTTTGTCCTGTTATATGCCTGTCAGACATGGCCGTTAGAAGTAGAAGGTATGAAGTGATTACAAGTGTTTGATCATACGTCCCCTCGTAGCATTGTTCGGGTTTGGTGTAATCACTATGTGAGCAATGTTGAAGTCAGATGAAGGGTACCAGGCGAGGCAGGCAAGTCGATTGGTGAGGTTGTGAACCTTAGTCGACTGAGGTGGCTTGGACGTGTACTGCGCATGCCAAGTCACTGCCTACCTTGATGTCCTATGCTAAAGGAAATCAGATTAGGTTGGCACCAGTTGATGAAATCTCTCACTGTTGGTACAAGTCATGCGGGGATATGCAGACTGCCTGTTTGGGGTCTCTGAGATGAAAGGAATCAGTGGTTGAGGACTCTTGATGAAATGGCTGAAAATCGGTCACAGTGGCACAGATGTATTCACAAGCTTGGATATTTGTAAAAACCTTTACTTTTAGTTTGTTTATTCTGTCACACAACTTCATCTTCTTTGACATTACTCTTTCACTAGCCACCTGCTCTGTGTTTATTGCCGTGAAGTGTGTTAACTTGAGTCGACCCATCTGTGTGCGAGGTTCTACATTGATTTCGTCAGTCGGTCGGCTATATTCTGTCTGTTTTCTTTCCTCTCTATCTAGGTATGTTGATGCAAGGTTCCATAACTAGGATTATCACACAGTATAAATACTCCTTCGTTCATAATCACTGAGTGACGCAAAGCTTCACGTGGGTAAAAGAAACAAAGTAGTCTTTCCAAACTAATGACGTGAATAATTTTCTGGAAGCTGTTATGATATAAGACGTGTTATCACTATTTGAAAAAATGATAATCCCGATACGTGATAATGATCATTGTAAGCAGTAGGATTCTACTCAGTTCTCTGTGTAAATATTTTACAGAATCATTAAGATTTTCACAAACGGACAAACATCCCTTATTACTGAGTCATGGTTAGTGGTTCGGTAAACAGCGATTATTTAATATCCTAAAAACAGTGGTCAATAAACTTTAACAAATGTTCATGAAACACTGACTCTGAAATGAAGATAACCAATTACAATGAAGTGGATAATGTTGGGTGTTAACAGTTTTACTTATAATCTGTATCGTTCTTTGTTCTCCTATTCAATATGTATTCCATTCTCACTAATTGCCCATTACCTTAATGAGTCATAAGTACAAACAAAGCAAACATAACGTCAATAATAAAATGACTGACTTGGTTAACAATTATACGATGGAAAGTATAAAAGTGATACTTCCTTCTATTCTAGAATTCGTCTCTTCATTAATGGACTATTCCACCCAGTAGTCGGCTATCGCTCAAACCGACACTAAAGGATAGCCTACCTAATCGTAGATCTTCTTCTTACATATATCAATTCAACTGTCACTCTGGAACTAGTCACATAGGGCCTACGATTGATTAGACAGGTGCCTCTCCGGATACAAGAGTATTTACCACCTTGGTTCCGAAAGGGTCAAGGTCAAGTGCAGAAAGTTCACTTCTACAACACCTAGTGGACACACGGCATCACTTAGATATCAATAAAACTTTCAATGTCACTCATCGTATTCCAAAAACAATACCACATGTAGCTAGCTCGCCAACGCCTGCTCAACATAGCGGAAACTGTCTCAATAAGATTCATCAAGCCTGAACTCTACATTCAGAAAGAACATGTCCAAGCATTACTTCTACCCTGACCTTCAGTAAACTGAAGGCCATTCCTACCTTTTTATTCCTTGTCATTTTCTTCCCTATCATAGCATCCGTCTGTTTATGTATCATCCCAATATTGAGAAATTAAAAGGGAAAACCGAGTTCCTCACAATCCCTAGTTCTCAGTCCATTTTGAGAATGTATCCGCCCCTAACATGGCTTGATTTCAAGCTGCACAAGTGCGTTTTATAACTATAGAACCTGAGGAGAATTTATGGGAAAGAATGTTCTTCGTTCAGATTGCTGCTTTTCATCAATATGTATTTTGCTAACGACTAATTTGATTCGTGTTTCAAAACTTATATGATCAATATCGCAACTCGTTGACCAAGCAGATGTCTGAACTAGTGCTGATCAACACATTTAAAGTACACTTTCCCTAATTAGATCCAACGAGTCGAATAGTATCATGAACATTTACATCAGTGTTGCAGGCATAACCTAGCTTCATAAACCCACTTTGTTGTATAATACACTTTTTAAATCAAACTTTACTGTGTCTATGTTATAACCAAATATGTAATCCTTGGTTATTGTACAACTAGTGTAACAACGCTAAATATACCTATTCTCATGAAAAACAAAAGAGAACACAAAATCTCTTCACAAATATGAATTTAACCAACGACAAAAATATGCTGTCTAAAAATGTATGTTATGGAAGGAAAATGTGAATAAATCTCCGATTCCTACCAATATGAATACATCTTTCATTAAAACAAGCTAAGTAGAAGAATATTTTACACCTAGACAACGAATTGATGTGAGCTGAAGTCTGTATGTATATTCATACGTACGTGTATGTGTGTATGAATGTTAGTGTCAAAATCAGGAAGTCATATCGATGTTCCAACACACATACACACACTGAGACACCAGAAATCACAGGATTGCAACTTCTGCTAACAACACAACTACAACTTTTGAATAATATTGCAGCATTCATTTAAAAAAACGTTGTCGTGACGGTATTTTCACGACAAAAAATCATCGATGAAAAGGATAAAATATATTTTTGTCTAAATGTTCTAAGAAATTCAGACATGAACGGGATGATTTGTCATGATATTAGATGGTAAATTCTCTGGCTTTTCATTATTTACTGATGTTGATGATTGTTGTACTTCACTCTGTTGCCGCCATAACTGCGCATAGCGACTATTAGGATTCAAAAGCAGCTCAGAATGTTTCCCACGTTCAACGATTTCACCTTCATGAAGGACTAGTATCTCATTAGCATGCGTTATTGTAGATAAACGATGTGCCACTACTAAGGTAGTACGATTCTGTGCAATACGATTTAAACTGGCTTGAATATTGCGTTCTGTTGCTGTATCCAATGCTGATGTTGCCTAAAAGTAGACAAATGTGGGGGAAACTATATATGATAACGGTTACACAGTTATGTTTAAGAATTCTAAGTAAATAGAAAAATTGTCAAGGGATAAAGAAATATACTGTAACAGCAAAAATTTATCGTCTATGCAAAGAAGCGTATGTCAGAGGTTTCGTTTGAGGTTTGTTGAAGATCTGTGAGAGCATCACAAACTATTGAAAGATGACAGTGTACAATGGATAAGGGTTACTTTAACACCGCCAAAACCTGACATGTATAACTTTCAATACTGAATCTATTCATATTGTCAGACCTCAAAACAGAGCGGGAGGTAGAAAATTACTGTGAAGAATCACAGAAAAGCGTCAGGATGCGTTGTATGTCAATTACAGGCAAATTACTGAATTCTAATTAAATCAACACAGGCTGATATCTAAACTATATATGTTTGGATCAAAACTCCTTATTCGTACCTTTTATCATAAATAAAACAGATTAGACTGAATGCAATTTAACTGGATACACTACAAATAAATTCAGGAAACTAACAAACGCCTCCTCTTGATCGACATTTGCGAATATATGCTTCATACAAGTAAGAAAAGCAGTTGTAAAAACACTGCACAATAGATAGTTTCAAAACTTTTAAACTGATTATAGTCTTATACGGTTACAGATCCAAAGTGATATAGAAGTGATAATTACAAGTACCCAATAGCTTAAGTTATCCTAATCTAGCGGGGTTTTTAATAAGGGTTATACAATACGATCCCCTTTCGTACCACTTCATATAAGAAAGTCAGTCAGTAGGGTGGATGTAAATACAGGTACAAGTGAATAGGTCCAGCATGCCACACTTCTAAACAGCTTGCAAGGAAAAGGTCGATGGAAAATGAACAACAAATCCGTTATTCAATATCAGCATAGGACCCAGCAATACTGCATAACAATTTGGATTGTCACTGCCTACATTAGTACATGAAGATAAAAGGCAGTAAAGGGAGAAAATAAGGAAAATATGTCATCAAAAGTTGTAGAAAGTTATAAGTTGAGGGATAGAGCAATTAACAAGATTTGATACGATGATGAGGATGAAGATTAAGAATGGATTCATGTATCCGTGAGATAGATTCTGAGCCAAAGCACCGAGAGCCTCAAACCAAAAACTTAATCGTCATACGGACCCTGACCAGGAAGATTGTATTTCACTGTACAGCTTAGATCAACAACTACAGGTTTCATCTAATAATGCCATGTCTTAGTCAGGCCATCTTCAACCTTTTTGCAACCAAAGTGCACTTTGGTTAACATTATGCGCCGTAGTAGACAGTGACTACGCATGTGTTACACACATAGATAAACATGAGAAAGAATTAATTTCCCAAATGTGTAAATTTAAAATTTAAGAAAACTCAAGCAATCGTAAGCTCTTGTTGAGCAAAAAGCTCTAGCACCATTCACAGAGACCCATAACTTCAGAAAGAATGAAAATTTATAATTTGAGAATGAAGAAAGTATTTAACAGGGGAACTATACGGCAAAGTAATGAAACGTGTGTAGTAGAGTTCTGAAGAAAACAAAACACGGATACAGACAATTGAAAAAGTATCACTCAGCTACACGTTCATGAATCAAGTTTTAAAGATGTTCAACTGATAATAAAGTCAATAATACTTGAGCTCATTATCACTTTCTACAGTTAGAAAAATTCTAAATCACTAGTTTGTGTTGATAAGGTTTCACCACTCACCACTTGATTTTTATGCAGTAGTATCATCAGAAACATTTCAAGTTGAATATCTCTACTTGGATTAAAGCATGTCATTGTTGAATTTCACATCTGCTCAGTTTGGCTAAGCATACTGGATGAGGAAACTCTATAATGACTGTAGTTAATAAGGCTTAGAATTAATCAAAACAAGTTGAATACAATCCCCTCTCATCTTACTCTCAGTAATAAATACCACATTACTGTGCATGTATTTTTTTAGGTGAAATAACTAAAAAGCACTTGCAGTGGTGCAGATACAATTACACTTCAATTCCCCGTATACAGCTTCATCATCTTTAGTTTATATCCTGTTTTACTCCAGCTATCATCATAATTAAAATGGATAGTGGGTGGCAGTGTAATCCAGGACTCACGTTTCGTCCTATTTCGGACTCATCAGCTAGATGTACCCACCTCCTAGTGAGTGATGTTGTTCCCACTAAGATCTGAACCCGAAGCCGATAGCTTCAAACACCGGAGAGTTATCCACTAGACCACCAAGTCACGATAGCCACTTGTTGTGCGATGGGTATGTGTTTTATATGATGTTGCTTGTATGTCAATAGAGACCGATCAGTTCAGTTCAATGAACGACGGGATAACACAAGCAACATCATATCATCATAATCTCCTGGTTTTTACCGCCTTTGATTTCTACTCATTTGTTGTTATGAGAAGCAGCTATATGCAATCAACTAGACTGTGGACTGTTAGTGTTTTCTTAATCTCATCACTTTTTCTTCTAGTGCCTTCCCAGACTTATTACCACCATTGTTTACCTGTATTTCATTTCACCTTATTTTATGATTTCGATGCGTTACACAATGTAGTGACTTACTCTTATTTACTTGGTAAAAGGTTGTTCTTGTCTCTGCGCAACTTTATTCGTTTAATTTATCAAGACAGGTGGATATCTTAATGGTTCGGTAAGACAATGCATTCTTCTTCACTACAGTTAAAGTTATGAAAATGAATAGTCTAGTTGTAATCCGCTCATTATATTTGTAGAATCTAGAGATCGACAAATGTGCACACCGTGTAGTGCGTGATAGTAATGGTAAAGTAGACGAATATTTGTGTAGAATCATAATTCAAAACAAGGTTTTGCTAACAACCAATCATATGAAAGGTCAACTTCTTTCGTATTCGTTCTACTGAAAATCAATAATTACATAAATCATGTACAAAATATTCGCATCTGATTAACCACAAAAGCACATGATTTTCATGACATTTCTAATGAGATTATGAAAGAAGACTGAGTGTAAACATAGGATCGGCGCAGTTTCATTTCATGAGGATGTCAACTTCATTAATTTGTATGAAGCTATACAATCTGCCTTTAGCATCCGTCTCTAGGGTTGTGTAGTTTATACGAAATATACTACCGACTGATATGACCACTTATAGACTATTCAAGCTGATCAAAAGTGGTCACAAACCATATCAGAGTGATTTAAGTAACCAACAGCTGATTCATTCATTTGGAAACAAACTCATTAATGGAATACCCAGGTTTATTCAGCTCAGAAAATCAAATTGTTCAAGGCAATAGAAATTCTGGCTAGCTAGTTTACGCGACTTGTTCTACCTAGAATCAAATCAGGAGCTTACAAAGCACAAAATATGCTGAGAAAGGGAAAAAACTAGGTGAAATCCAATTATGAAGTTTCACTGTGGATTTTTACCTGTTGAAACCAAAGTAGTCAGATCATATTGTATGACCTGTATGACACCCAGGAATGGTATCAAAATGAACAGCATGAAAGTCGTAGATCACAGCTTTCATAAGCTTTTACCCTCACACCTTAACGTCATTTGGGATGTCAAGGAGATTACGCTATTTGTTCTGAACTTCACTATTCGGTTTCAACTAATTGTATCACTTTCATCAGGGACTGCTTATGTGTTGCAAACTATTTAATTCTGATGTAGTTCCCGAAATGGATGATATTCTGTACAGTCTACCTACTGATCAGAAAATGATTTATTTAATAAAAGGACTAGCTTCAGAACATTTTTAATCCTTCAGGAAACAGATCACCTCAACATAATTAACATAGAAATTAGGTTCTCATGTAGTAAAAGCCATGTCAGATAACATACAGAAGGTTAAGTAACGTCCAACATTTTGAGGTCTACTTCTTCATATAGTAAGATTCTCTAGCTTTTATCAGACTTAAGTATTCAATCTACTTATTAATTCGAACTGTTTAAAAAAAACTATATCTTGGGCGATAGGTTCTTGGTTGGTTCACTGACAGCCTACCAGAGTTCCTCGTTGCTTATCCTTATTATTCTGGCCATCTGAACTCCAGTAACAAGCCAGCGTAGACAGTTGTTGATGAATATCTGAAGTTCGTTGCAAATGCTTTCCGTGACTCCCCAAGTCCCTCAACCATATACAAGCACTGACTTCACTAACACTGGTGTTGAAGATCCGGATCTCGTTCACATTTTACGCTGAGTGCAGTGCAATGCAGCAGATCTCCACACTGGTTTCAGGTCAATGAACGCCTGTCTTGCTGTCTTTCCCATCCTGGCTGGCATTGACGTCCTCGTCTCTGCCGCCTGTAGTTCAGACGATTCTGGCTAGGCGGTACAAGAGAGAGATAACTCCCTTCAGATTTCTCCCATTAATAGTGATTGGTGCTAGTTGTTGGTTGGATATTTTCATCACCTCTGTCTTCTCTACGTTCACTTGAAGTCCCGTCTTCCTTCGCCACCTCACCTCTTCTGCCAACTTGTTAGTTTTTGCCTGTAGATCTTTGAGCTTGTGTGACAAGACATTAGACATAAATCATGATCGGCGAAATCCAAATCTTCTAGGGTCTTTTCATCGGTCCAGCCAGCCTATGTTCCTCCTCTCGCTCCTCACAGTTTGTTGCATGATCCAGTCCAGTCAACCGCAATCAGCAAGGTGATCGGTGATAGTAGGTGGCAGCCATGTCTTATTTCCGTCTTCACTTCAAAGGCATCACTGAGACTTCGATTGTCAATCACTTGGCATTGAGCGTCGTCATGTAGCTGTTGAATGAGGTTGATGAGGGTTTGGGGCGCTAAAACCATGTTGTTGAAACAGTTTCCAAATTATTTCTCGATCGACGCTGTCGAAGGCCTTTTCAACGTCGATGAAGTTGAGGTAGAGAGTTGACTGCCATTTACCTACGACACAGGTACATTTTATCTTGAAATTTCAACTTAGATAGTATTCCTTTCTACATATAGAGTTAGGTTGAGACATCAGAATGGAAGTAAGTTCGTTGACACTTACAGATGCAACACATTAGTGAAACTGGTGTCAAAACAAAAATTTACGTCTTGAACGAAAAAGCAAGTAATACCAAGGAGTTGATAAGTCTCAATCAGCCACTCACAATTACCTTCACAGCGCATAAAATTAATGAAGACCAAAACCAACTATCATTTACTAAAGACCATGAATATGCACTGAATATATGAGTATATATAAGAAAGAGAGAAAAATAAAAACATAAATATTTCACTGATTAATGTCCTAGAGAAGCTTACTTCATCTAAAATCATAATTGGTGGATTTTTTAACAGATTACGAGCAATAGCTACACGTTGTTTCTCTCCGCCGCTTAATTTCAAACCACGTTCACCAACAACTGTTTCATAACGTTTTGGAAAATCTAGAATACATCGATGAATATCAGCAGCGATAGCCACCTCTTCGATCTCCGATTCACTAGCTGATTGACGTCCATATCGAATGTTATAATAGATTGTATCATTGAATAAAACTGTATCCTGTTAACAAGGAGAACAAAATGGAAATAACGATTTAAAAAACGATCTATGTTAGTAATCGCAGATTTATTTTTCAAATGATGGAGAATATTTGAAGCTCAGGAAGATAATTTGACGATACTGTGTGTCCTCTGAGCTGGATAGTTTAATCATGAAGCTTTCATTGTCATTCTCAACAATACAATCAGTAAAAACTTCAGATGGTTGATGATAAAACCATTCAGCTCAGAGAACTCAACACAACAAACATAGATTTATACTGGACGATGATTGAAGGTGAAATGAAAATTTGGACCGTGGCAGAAAACCTGGTGGTAGCTGGTTCGAGTCCGGCCACGGTCCAAATTTTCATTTCACTTTCAACCATCACCCAGTATCACTACTAGTCTACCAAACTACGGCTATCTCAGACAGTCAAATGATAATCAATATGAGGCTAATTCAGTTAAATTTAGATTAGGATGAGAAGTCCTGAGTAGGGAGCCAGCGTAAAAATACGATCAAGCGATAGTAACGCATCACGAATTCACATGGCAGTCGATTAAAACCTATGGTGATTGAAGTGAAATAAAATATGGCTAGCAGTCGGGCGTTGTAGCTCAGTTGGTAGCTGGTCCGAATCCGGCCACGGTCCAAATTTTCATTTCACTTTCAATCATCACCCAGCATCAATACAAGTCTGCCAAACTACGGCCATCTCAGATAGTCAAATGGTAAAAAAATAGATTTCTTTGGCATTTCCGTAGGAAAAACCATGAAACAATTCACACTGACTATAAACACTGGAAACTGTTTATAGAAGTGAAGTTGGGAAGAAACGCAAGTTGACTCAAACCAATAGACTATGTCCTGAATAACTAACCACATAACCTGTTGATTAAGTTACAAAAGCTAACTTTTAATCAGATATGAATTGCTTACTTCTAATTATTTTCTCAAAAAGTATGTGAATAAGCGTTATAAAACGTTTACTATTCATGTAACCTCATTGCAGATTACCACTTGAACACGTCAGAATCTATCATAGAGATGATGAATATTCGAAAAATTGTCAGCAGAGTAGAGTAGAAAGGGAGTGCAAACCTATTCCAATTCCATACACATACATTCGATCAAAACCAACCATCCAGTGGACATTAAGTCATCTTTCTCTGTTGTTCATCAAATACCAAAATGACTACCATACAGCCTAAGCAGTTGCCAAGGCAACAATGAAATAGGAGTTAGGTATGCAGAAATATTTTGTTCGAACACTTGTTCTGACCATGTAGTCACGCTAATGTGATGCAATTATCTTCAACTCCATTTATTTCCATCTGTATGAGATAATCGAATTGAATTTGTTTCATTTTCTATTTGCATACTTGAACTTATTTTTCATAACACTTTATTTTCATTAAAATTCATTTTTCGTTGTGGTTTAATTCAGTCTTTACACCTATTATCTAATTAAATTATCTATATAGATGCTGATCGGTTTTGATTTATCTTTATACCACCTTAAAGTACCCGATTATGTAACATCATCTTCCTCCACCGAATCAGTCATATATTGTATATATACCAATCAACTTTGGATACTCTAGGTGTCTAATATCAAAGGTATCAAGATTTCATATTTCATGATTGAAACCGATGAAACTTTGAGGAAAATAAGCATGTGTTCAAATCAGTTATCTTCTCATTATTATCATGGGGATTCTCCAAGAGTTAAAATCCTATGTATTCCCTAAGAAGAAAGGGAACTACTTACTACCTTATGGCTGAATGAAATTATCGTCTTCAAAATTGCAGTCCTATTAAATTTATTCAGTAGAAATAAGTAAAACTGTATTCTCCAAAACATATACAACGAAAAAAAATGATTATCAAGTGACATACTTAGAATTTATTCAATTTATAACGAAAAAAACAATGACAACTACTCGTATAAAACCACCTGCAGAATGAATAATGTGACGTGGTCATACAGTTAACAGTGAGTAAGTAATTAAATAAGTCAGCAAATAATTAAGCCATAAATCATAACAAAATAAATGAGAAGAGTTCAATGTTGATTAATTACTCAACACTGCACTAATATATAAAGAGGCATGTTGTTCAACAGTATTTTTATGAACAAAAAATAATTGAATTTTTTCTGTATATTTGTAGATTAGTTATTGACCTTCACTACCACCTCCTCTCTCTCTATCTGTATCGCTCAACATTGCCATTATCAGTAATAGCTGGCAAACGGGTTGTTTATTTTAGAGCAATTTTCAAGTTATGAAAATAATTCACAATCAATTTGTAAGTAGTTTTCAATGAGGAAGATAATTTTGTGTACTAGTGCCAAAAAATCATTAGTAATAGTAATTAGGTAATTTACAAATTGCATTGCCTTATTGAGATGGTAGAACTCTATACTATTCATTACTTCGATTGTGAAATGAATGTTACTCATTATTGGGTATCTTGTTTAAAGCCTGATAATTTACTTGAGTTTGTAAGGTGACCTGTCAAAAAAGTGCACATTATATCAATGATAAAGCAGAACATTCCAGTTTAGAGTAATTCATCATAATCACCACTGGCATTTGAGTTCAGTCATTTGGAAAGTGAACTCAAATGTTTGAACTGATTGATCAAGTCTAATTTGTAGTCAGTTTAATTCTTACACAGAGGAACGAAATTGAAAGATTGACTGCATATTGGTGAAATTTCCACTTGTTGTCAACCGTATTCGAACAACCAGTATCGATAGAATAGACAACTGAAAAGGGTTGGTGGAAGACTGTCACTCCTTGTGGAGTAAGTGTTTGGACAGTAACCACATGTTGGTCTGAATACTCTTATATTTGGGTCTAAATGGAAGTACAAAATTATAGGAACAAGACCATTCATCAGGCAGCTCGATGATGGGAATACTATGGCTACTTTCAATAAAATATTGACTAAACAATTACTGCAACAAGATAATTTCATTCTTGCGGAAGAAGCCTGGTGCCATCTCAAGTCTTCTGTCATAACAGTGTGGAGGACCGCAACTGAATTTCAGAAAGATGTTAGAAAGGGTCAAAGGATTTGAATAGCAACTTCCGAATTGATGTGTACGCATGTGAACTAATTCAAGTAGGATCAAAAAATAATGAAGAGCGGAAGAAACTCAAACGCATACTGGAAAGGGTCTACGCAATGATCGCGAGCAGTGATGGGTAAAGGTTTAAGAGATGCAAAAGGCAGAGGTGTAACTATAAACAGTTATTTAGACTGACCAAAAGTCAGTGGTTAGTAAGACCATAGACAAGAAGAATATGTCTGTGATTGACTCGGAGAAGTGATAAATTGAACAATGTTCAGAACATTGACGAGCAGTTCAGCTGGCCTCCGGATAGTCTTTGGTTGCTCACTATCCAATCAGATGCAGAATGAAACACAAAGACTCCAAATCTCGACAAAGTTGAGGATGAATCGTGCAGCCAGATTGGATGGTATCGGAGTTTTTTTGAGAACGGAAGTCGGAGAGAATAGGATGGATTAACAAAAGCACTAGTTGGCGTATAGGAACTAGGTATGATCTCTTCGAAATGGTCTTAATTGCTGATCGCCCCAGTTTTCAAAAAATGTGTAGAAATCCTTTTCTAAGAACCACATGGAGAAGTAATGGGACGAACATGTCTAAGATCCTATAATTAATTACAAGACGTATAAGTAAAGCTGAGAAACAGCAAACCCTACAAAACCAACCATGTATTACACCTGATCATGGGTGTATCAACCAGATATAAGCCCTCTAACAGGGTTTGCAACACAGGCGCAATCACCGATGTGTCGATAGAAAAGTCTTACGGTAATGTCTACCTCTCATGGGGATACCAGCTAAGTACATCATCTTACTAAACGCAGTGTATTCGAACACCACGGATGTGTCAGAGCCAATGGTGAAATATCAGGTGAGTTGCATATGTCAAGTGGTGTTTGCTCCTTACGTTCATATCAAGTCTCATCTCCTTCCCATCTAATGAAAATGAGTTTAATTTTGCCGTAGGGAAGTTTTCAGTAGATACAGGGTGGGCAAACTGACTGTTGGAGAAAAATACTGAAACGAAGGTTCCTCTGAACAACTTGAATGGACGGTTGAGAATGTTCAGGATGTATTTCTCATCACTGAAATGCACGTTGTCGCTCTAGGACTGGTTTGCATTTTTGTTGCATCTAACAGTATGAGGCTAATTGCGAAATCCGATCGGTTTTGGTGGATGGTGATGACTGATGAAAATCTACGTACGGATGAAGAAGGTTCGGTTGGCTTTCGTCAAATTACACCATTTTTCATTTTCGTGATAAGCAACTGGTTGAATGTACTACGCTGCATTTCACTATGTTTTACTATGAGGCTGGGAAATGTGACCACGAACGGTGGAGGACATGATCAGGTTTCAGATATTCAACTACTGTTGCCTTTCTAGCTTAGGCAATGTGCCGTAGAACTGCCATGTCAATACAATAGAAATCAGAAGAGTCTTAGATGAAGTAACTTAGTTAATGAGAATGTTATACCTTCATCGCCTTATGTAGTTTGGATATGTATTACGCGTATATAGTCATCATCTATCCCCATCGTGGATTGTTAGCTGTAGTACACCTAGGCTGGAAAATATTAGAGATATCCAGAGTAAATCATTTCATAGGTCAATGAAGTCTTCTACCGTTGTTTGAAACCACGCAATAACATTAAACGTTTTTATTAGTATCTGCATAACAAAGTGAGTCGACAGCTGTAAACTCTGGGTGATATGGCTGAGAATCGACCTGACTGGCGCAAATAAACACAAGCATTATCTGTATCTTAATAATCATCATGAATTTCATTGGTTTCTTACTCCTCGTTATTCTCTTGTTACGACTTTCCACTACTTTTAATTACGTCCTTCCTTATTGATCAGTGTTTATTCTTGGTGCTTTCTATCTTGATGATATGAAGTGAGACAATTCGAACCACCATGCAGTAGTGATAG